CGTGAGCAGCCATAGGGCACCTCTGCAGGGTGAGAGGCCGATTCCCTGAGCCTGGCGATGGCACCGAGGGAGAGGAGACAGGAACGGCCTCAGGACTCCTCACCCATCTTCACGCCTGTCCCGCTTTGCTCTCCAGAAGCTGCTGGCTGAGTGCCAGGACCAGCAGTGGTGCCAGTTCTCGGTGCACAGCCAAGTTTTTGGGCCAGACCCGTGCCCCGGGACACACAAGTACCTCATCGCTTCCTACAAGTGCCGGCCAGGTGAGGTGGAGCGGGGTCTGGGCAACGCTGCATGGGCTCCTCCCCAGCCTCAGCTGCTCGGAAAGGGGCAGAGAGGGCAGCTGAGCTGCTCCTGTATCTCGCAGCTCTCCTCCAGCCCTGCCCTGGGCAGCTCTCAGACCCTTGGCTGGGCTGAGGGAGCAGGGGGCTGCAGGTGATTCAGGATGCGTTGGGATGCCCTGCGGTGTCACTCCCCAGGCAACCATCGGGTCAAGACCGTGTGCGAGAACGACAAGCTGAGGCTGCAGTGCCGACCAAAATCTATCCTGGCCATTTATTCTGCAAATTATGGACGATTCTCGCGGGGCAAACCGGAGTGCGATGCCCTGAACACTGGGGGACCCCAGATAGGTATGCTGGAACAGTTCAAGCCAGAAAAGAGGCCAGAAGCCATGCAGAGAGCATGGCACAAGTGTGCCATGGGGCTGTACCTGTGCCCCTTGGCCCCAGCTGGCTGGTGCCCAGCGGGCAGGGGCAGGCAAGTCTGCCTGTGGGTCCATGCCCCATGTCTTTGCAGAGTGCTTGGCTCCAGACGCCCTGCGGAGGGTCTCCAAGAAGTGCCACCGCAAAGGGAACTGCACCGTGGCTGCTGACCAGGCCACCTTCGGGGACCCGTGCCTCCCCGGCACAAAGAAACAGCTGCGAGTCTCCTACACCTGCGGTGAGAGCCACCCACAGGGCTGAGGGCAGGGGGGCCACTGGCTGAGCCCCCACTGTGCCCACCCCGTGCTGTGCAGACAGGGGTGCGGGGCTCCCTGGGGAGGCAGGGGGCTGCTGGGGACGAGCAGGGTGGTGATGCTCGGTGTGTGATCTCCTTGCAGTGCCCAAGCAGCTGCTGGAGGAGGTGGGCCCTGACACCTCGGACCCCTTCCTGCTCTCGGACTACATGCACGGTAACGTGGGGGGCGGGCTATGCCAAAAGCAGCGCAGCATCGTGTCTGTGCCCAGGTGAAGCACCCCTTCCATGGGCTGTGTGCGTCCATGGTACCCACCGCTGGCACGAGCCCTGCAGCTCATCCCACCCATCGGTCCATGCCTGTGTCTGAGGGGCTGGAGAGATGTGGTCTGCTGGGAGCAGGGGAGAGGGGGACCTGCAGGGGAGCATCCCTACGGGCAGAGGAGTGCTTGTGCAGGAAGGAAGGAGTGTGGCATGGGGAAGGAGGCAGGCAGGGGCAGGCAGCTGGGCAGCGGGGCGCTGGGGAGCACCCCGTGTCTCAGCCCGCGTCCCCTTGTTTGCTGCAGGTGGCTGGTACAAAGGGCCCAGGTTCTCCAGGCTCCGGGAAGACCGGATGATTTTTACTAGCTCTCTGGCAGCTTTTGCCCACCTTTGGGGTACGTGCCCTCCCCGGCTCTCACGCAGCACCTGGGGGAGCAGGACGGGCTTGGGAGGGTGGCTCAGGTCCCGTGATTGCCCCTGCTCGGCCCAGGGCTCAGCTCAGAGCCAGCCAGACCCCTCGGGCAGGGTCAGCAGGCACACGAGGGAAGAGGGCATCAAGCCCCCATGCTGGGTTTGGGGGGGGCCACGTAGGGCAGGAGCTCAGAGGATGAACAAGCCCTGAGCTCCTGCAGCACTGGCGGTTGCGGTGCTGCTGCAGTCCTGCATGCAGACCTTCCTTCTCTGACGGGCTGAAATACCGCTGGGTCTCCTTCCTTCCTGCCCTGTCTGCAGGGGTACTGACGGAGAGCACCTCTCTGCAGGCAAAAAATTTCATTGCCAGGGAAGTTACTCATTTAAATCCCTGGCGAGATGATTCCTCCCACCATGCTGCCTACCCCGCATCCCAGTGGGGGTTTCCTACGGGGAAAGGGGCATTTCGGGATACTGCTGGGTGCTGATGCAGCTCTGGGTGATGCTCCCATGATCACTGGGGCAGGGTCTGTCCTGCCCCTGCAGCCTGGGTGCCAAGAGCATCCCTGCTCCCCTCCTCTTGCTCCCATGTGCCCGGCAGAGAGGGTTTTCCAGGCACTGGTACCCCACAGACTGCAGAGGTGGTTTGTATCCTGGGGTCTTTCTTTGCTCTTCACCCCCCAGGTGTCCCAGAGAAAGTTGGCCTCTACTTTCTTTGTGGGGTCTCAGGAGGCCTCATGCTCCTGCTGTGCATCATCAGCCCCAAAACGACCTTCCTCCAGGAGGTGGGGGAGGCTCTCAAAGACCCAGAGCTGGGGAGCAGCTCGGAGCTGAGCAGGACCAAGCTGCGGGACGAGCAGGACGAAGACCTCCCCGACGACAGCTCCTCAGACTCCTCCTTCCGCCGCCTCACCCGCACCTACCGGGCCACCGACAGCATCTTTGGCCCGGAGCTGACAGCGGCCATGGAGGGAGCAGTGGAGCACCAGGGCCACGGCAGGGAGGAGATCTGGATGCCCAAGGAGTCAAGCCCATACGCCATCCACAAGATCAAATCGGCCACCAAATAAGAACTGGAAGAAAATGGCTGGAGAGCAGCGGGGGCAGAGGCTAAGTGGGATCCGACATCAGAGAGACACAAGAATTTGGGCTCCTCGGGGTGAGTGGGCATCCCGAGTGGCAGCAGGGCCACGGCAGCCCCTGTGTGACCATCAACCCACGGCTCCACCAGCCTGGAAACCTTCAACCCGAGGGTAAGATGCAGTCCCTGGGTGTGATGAGGGGCTGCGGGATGGCTCGTGGGGCCGCTGGCTCCTTTGCCGCAAACACGCCGCTAACCCTAAGCTAACCTCCCCATTCTCAGCTCGAATCGGCTGGCCCCAGTACTTAACCCTGCTCAGCCACGCCGAGCCCACCAGGCTGTTTGCTCCTGGTTTTTTCTTGGGTGCTGGCTTCCACCCCTGGTGCTGCAAACACCCCAGCGTTCAGGCAGCATGCCGGCAGCAGAGACGCAGAAATGGCCAGGATGCGGGGAGAATGCAGGCGGAGTGGGTGGGAGAGCGCTGCGAGCATCAGCCAGCACAGCCCTACCACGCCGCGTGCCTTGCAGCCCCGGTATCCCCAGGGGAGCTGCACCCTGGGGCTGGGGCAGCCGGCAGCTTGGCACAGCGCTGGCTCTCACCTCCCTGCGGGCATTTGGGAGGTCTGTTACCCTGCGTTGCTCATGCTTTCCTTCATGTTGCTGGGGCTTTTTCCAGTAAATAAATGCAACAGCTCATAGACACAACATCCCTCTCTGACCTCTGCCATTAATAGTGGAAGGGGAGGAAAAAGGAAGCGGCAAAGCTCAGCCCTCCCTGTGCAGATCAGCTCCTTGCCTCCCACCCGTTTCTGGCACTGGGCCATGGGGAGCAACAGGTTGGGCCTGTTTTAGCATGGGAAAGGATAAGGTTTTAGCCTGGGGAAGGGAAATGGGGGGAAAGCAGTCCATGTGGATCCCATGAGCAACACTTCCCTGCCCTTGCTCCTTCTCTTGAGCCTGGGGCTCTCTGTCTCGTAAGCAATCCTGGAGCGAACGTCCCCAGCTGCCATGCAGAGGGACTTCTCAGCAGCCCCACAGTGCCAGGGAGCTGGGCTGGGTCTCGGGGCTGCTCCAGCTCCAAAAGTCAGTGCGAGCTCTGTAGTGCTGTTGGAAGGGGCTGGATGGAAGCAGCAACCCAGCTCTTCTCACGATAGGGACACTCCAGGCACCAGTGCTCTTGACCTAGCATGTAGCGGGGTCTATTTTTCCATCCACCACCGCACATGAAGTGCCTGGGCTGGGTGCAGCAAGAGAGGGCTGTGGGGGACGTCAGTGCACCCCTTAACCCAGCTGCTGGCATTGGTGGTCTGCTGGGGGCCAGGGAGGCACTGGCCCCATCCCTGCAGCCAGAGCCACGCTGTGCTCGGAGGTGGATGCTCTCCCGGTGCGGAGCTGAGTGCCATGGCAATGCAGCAGCCTTGTGCTCCTGCTCCAATGAGGTGGGGAAAGGACTTGCATCCTGCCTGGTTTGGGGATTTGCTGAGGGATTCCAGAGCCCAAGGAGAGTTTGGGGACTCTCACCTCAAACCGGCCCCCAGCATCCTTAGATGATGGGCAGGACTGAGACCACAGACTTGCCTCCATGCTTGGACAGCTGGTACAGCTCCTGCTGCAGACAGACAGTGTTCACCTTGCAGGGACTGCTTCTTGCTCCCCGCATCTTTCCTCCAGTACCCCCAATGGCCGGGTGGGATTTCGGCATGTGTGGTGCGAGCTGCAGCCCCTGCAGTGGAGCCAGGCTTCCCGAGAGACTCCTGAGGAGTGCAAGCACGGCAACACCGTGGGGACTGGAAAAGCCGGCTTCCCCCTGCCAAGCCTGGGCAGGACGGGCAGATGTAGACCTGTCCCAAAGCAGGCAGCTTGCCCAAGCCCCCACAGAGCCGCAGGCAGACTTGGATGGGGGGTTTTGGCTGGGGATCTTATCCCACAGGCCGATGCACCATGTTTCCATTGGCAGTGGGATGTGTCCCAGCTCTGCCTGGCGAGTATGTACCTGACTCGTATTTTTGGCTGGAACGTGCGCTGCCCCAACATGCGCAAGGAGAGGCAGACACCTGGATCCCACGAGGATCCCAGGCTGACGGCGAGCGAACCTCAGGGAGCTCCCAGGCCAGGGACAGCAGCAGCGGCACCAGGAGAGCTGGGGCTGGAGAGGACGAGCAGCCAAGGAGAAAACAAGATGGGCTGGAGCCACAGCAGCCCTGACCAGTTTTGGGGACTGAAGGTACCCGAGATCTGTGGGACCCAGGTTTAAACCCCCGCCAGCCCTGTGAGCACCCCTCGGCCATGCCGTACACCAAAGCCGTTCTGCTGCTCCCGGCTGCCAGTGGCCCCAGGTCTTTCTGCCAGAGACGTGGCAGAGCTGCCTGTATGCAGACCGAGCCACCCTGCCTGTCAGCAAAGCGAAAGGACTGATCCTGCCCGCACGGCCCCTGGGCAGCAGGTTTAAGTCCCCTCAGAAGCTGGCAGTGGGCTGTTTCCCTAGCAAGGGGCTCATCAGCTCCACCAGCAAGTGGCACGTGGGTGCGGGATTATCCCAAAGGATTTCCTTGGGTTAAACTTAGGAATCTGGAAGGTTTTGCTGGGAACCTGCCAGCTGGGGGAAGCTCTCCTCTGCTGCAGTGCTGAGCTCTGCCAAGCTTACCTCAACTGGGAGGGGGGGGTTCTTTAACCCTGAAGCTTGGTGCAGTGCTAAAAGCCCCCAGGAGCTGGAGAGGGGAAGCGACCTCTGCACGACGGGTGGCATGTGTGCCACTCGTCATCCCAGTCCCCAAGGGAATGGGGATCAGGTCAGAGCATCCCCAAATTATCTGGGACCACAGGAACAGCTCAGACGGTGCGTGGTTGGGTCAGGGGCTGCCCAGCAAGAACCACCCCGCACAAGCAGGGCAGCTCCTGCCCTCGGAGCCGCCTTTAGCTCCCACGAGCCCAGCTCGGTGTCCCCCGGTTGAGCTCAGGCAACGGGCATGGGGTGAGTGCCTCCCACCCTGGGGTTGCAGGCAGGGGTTATCGCTGCCCCCCCGGCAGCCGCTGCCACCCCTACTCCCCCAGGCACTTGCATGGCTAGCTGTGACATGGATGGTGCTCAACGCATCCATCCTCTCTCCAGAAAATGAGATGCTGGGGTCGGGGGGGGGGTAACCAGCTGGGGGGTCCTCACTGGGGAGGTCAACCCCACCCTCTTTGTGATCTCAGTGGGGGATGAAAAGTGGACAGACCCTCTGAGAGCAACTGAGCTGGTGGAAGAGCCCAAGATGGACCCTCCTGGGTCCCCTGAGCCCAGCAGGCAGGAGCAGAGAGCAGGGGAGGAGGCAAGAGGGACAGACCCTTTCCCCCAGCCATGCTGCAAGGGCTTTTTTGGTGCAAGGAGCTTTCTCCCTGGCCAGCATATTAAACAGCACCCGCTCATGCCCCATCTGATGCTGTGTCTGCAGCAGCGGGTTGTAGCCCTCAGAGCTCGACCAACAGGGATGAACTGGTGGCTGCTGGTGCCATCCCTGCCTGGCCAGATGTGATGGATGCACTCAACCCCTTAACCAAACTCACAGTTGTTTGGTTCAGGGTCCAAAGGAGGTAAAGGCCTTAGCCGTAAATGGGCCAAGAACTTCGCTAGTTCCGATCTGTTCTCTGAAAAGCCACAAAGGAGCAGAGTGACACAGTGAGCATCCATGCATATGAGCTTGGAACACCGATCATGCGATTAACACATGAAAAGTGGGTGGCTTTTCCGAGACTCATTTATCAAGGAACAAAGAAAGTTGTGGGTACAAGGAGTCTCATGCATACTTTTCCCATCACATGTAATTTGACTACAAGCCAACCATTTTATTCCATAAATATGACAGCCTGACTGAGCCTTCCTTGAGCACTCCCGGCTAAGCAGCCTGGCTGCATGGTGGTGATCTGCCCTTGAGCTGGGATGCCTTCAAGGTTGCTCCTCGAAGCAGAGACCTTTTACCAGCGACAGATCTTTGGTAAGCGACTGATACCGCACGTAACGTGTAGTATGGTAATGCAAATCTGTGCCTAGGTAACTTTGATTTTGTCTTGGTAACTTTGACTCTGCCTTCGTAGTTTTGAATCATTGTTCAAATGATTGTGCGGTACAGTAAGTTACCCTTGCCATTGAACTTCATTAAGCCACACTTTTACAATATCATGTTAAAACCACTTTTACTGATCCTCTTCACAGTGTTCTTTAAGTGATCTAAATCACCCGCTTGCAACAGCAGGTCACAGGAGCTGCATGGCCAGCCCAGGGTACACCCTGCCCCCCAAACCAGAGACCCCCAGCCTGGTGAGAAAGGGCAGCCCGGTGTCCGGGGCTGGGGGCAAAGGGGGTGACCTGGGCACGGCATACTGAGAGAACATAACCCAAAAACGTTATCTGCATTTCATTTTTGCCTGTTTCTTAAGGCAAGGTCTTCTTGTGTAGGATGTTTAGCACAATCTTTCTCATAAGGAGCACTTTATGGACACCACCTTAAAGCTTCTTTGGCACATGCTGAGTTTGCAACTCAACATATACAATCAAGACTAAGCCTCTACAGACTGCAATCATGCTGTCTAGCAGCAGTATCGGACAAAATGAGAACCTACTCTTAAGGAGTGCCAAAAGGGTTGGAGTATGATTTTACTCACTGTGTTTAACCTACCATGGTGAGGATACGGTTGCTCGTATCTTTTACAATCATACCCCATGTAGGTTATAACAGGTGGAATGGAAGTTAATTTTCTTGTGCACCGTGAACCAGAGCATTTATTTAACTGTTGATTTGAATAGCTAGAAGACCCTACAGGCTTTGACAGTGAAGTGGTTTTGCAATTAGGGATAAGGCACTGGAAAGTGAAGAAGTTAACTTTGAGTAATGGCTGCAGGATATGCAGTCTTTAGTACTTAAAGCATGAAGCTGTGCTTCCACCAGCGGAGGAACAGGTTTGTTTCTCCGCGTGTTTGAAGACAATTAACAACTCACGGTTAAGAGGGAA